GTGACAATTTACTCTGAGAGTTACGATCATGGTCCTAGAACCTCTTATTCCATAATATTTGATTACATGGGGAATTGATAGACTCACATTTTGTTTAAGAATTGTTCATCGTTCCTATGAAGCAAGCCTACAGAATTCATACCACTGTCTCTTACTGCTTATGAATGAAAAACTTCAACTCCAACACATTTCTTGGGCTGAAAAAGCAGTTTGAATCATGTGAGAGAATGTGTTTTGGTTTTCTTTGCCACAACTCCCACTCATACCCATATTTCAAATCTTGTGATTTGTTATCAGACATAATACAGATCTAGGTTGCGGATGTCCCAATATGGAAGCCATGTTGCCTGCATTATAATCAGTAATCCACTTTGCTCTGGCTCTGGCCTGGCCACTGACCCCTGCTGACCTCCTTGGAATTGATTTTTGCGCTTGAACCCAAAGCAGGCACAAATGAAGCCAAGATATCAGCTGAAAGCGAGAGACAGGGAGAAAGACAGTGACAGAGAGTGGGAGAGGAACAGAAGGGGGAAAATAAAATGGACTAGTGAGAACAGAACAGCATGAGTCTACTGAAAGATGGTTTTGAGCCATGGGAAAAATAGATGGCTACAATGAGTTACTTTGATGGAACATCTGTAGAAAAGCAGACGAAATGAGAAGGGCCTTGTAAAAAGCTTAATAGCCTAATTTCCTGCCCAGCCCTGCAGAAATATCTGTCTGACACTGACAGCTGATGACAATACACCACAATTTGATTTTCTCCCGAGTGGAGAACAAGTTAAGACCTATCTCTCGCTCTGTAAAGTCCTGCAGGCAATACTCTGTGTGTGTCTGTAAGAGAAAAGAAAATCCTGGCCGAGGCTGCTTTTCTCCTCAGGGCTAATGACAAATTTAGCGATAATCGTCATGTTTTAATTGATGTTTCCGCACCACTGACTCACACCACCGGTGGATTGCATCAGGGGGATGAGAGATATGAGGAGTTTGGTATCTGCACGGCCCACAGTTCCCTTTATTGCACCGACTCGTTTCCGATCTAGCCAACGCTCAAGGCCTTAATGCACAGCGCAGGCAGCCTTTGGGACAACGCAACCTGCTCACAGTCACTGCATGATGAGGTAGATGGTACATGCTGTCCCATCTCCACGATGCCTCTGTTGGACTGGGGTAAAAAGCAGCACTATACGTACAGCAAGCTGCTTGATTGCCCGGCAGCCCCCCCAGTGCGCCGCGCTATGGAGAGGACTAATGTATTTATAACCCCTCTCGTATGTGCACTGGGAACAAATTAGAGACAAATGAGGCAGGATTCCTCCACTCGCCTCGGAAAGCTATGAAATTAGGGCAGCATCGTTTACAACTAGCACCAGATCTCAAAGTTAAACAAGCTTCTAAAAGTGGCTATACAGTATTTTGTGTAGTGTTTTAGTGTCTTAAGTGGTGCACCATCCCAAGCGTTGTACATGTACATGCTTTAAACTCAAGTGGTTAATGAGAACTAAGCATGCAACACACTCTTTGTTTCCCCATCTCTCTATTTTCTGTTATGAAGGCACTCCTTTGATGATCAAGTCATTGACTACACAAGAATATTCACAGCAGGATTTATTTTAATCCAAACATTTCACTGGCTTTATCTACACATTTGGGAGGCAGTTCAGAAGATTTTTCTTTGGTGTCTTTGGACAAAAAAAGAAGAGGCAGCGCAATTAGAAAGATTAAAAGATGAGAAAATACACTAGTTCTCAACGCAAGTGTCAGACATGTCCCCCTATCAGTCGGAGCGCATGTTAAGGTTTGTGTGAAGTGTGTCCATTAGCTTAAATCATTATTACTGGTTTTGCTTGTAATCAATATTCATGTCTCTATTGGCTTGATCATAACCCTTGGTATTTCGTTTCTCAAAAGGTTATTATTGGTCTTTAAAAAAAAAATATGTCAATATTTTTTTGTACCATTCAATGACAACAAAACATGTTTCCATTGCCACTGGTGCTATATCAAGTTAGCTGTAGCTGTTAAAAATAATATGCCATGTTTATTATAGTCTCCATTGAAATTGATATTATATCCCTACTTTTGGACATGTTTAACAAAAGATAGGTGCATCCATGTACATTTATTATTTTAAAGTTTTTTATAATACTTATTTGACCGTCTATGTTTCTTGTAGTTATTCCATTAGCTCTTTTTAATGCACTGTTAGTTTATAGTTGTATTATTATGTTGCTGTGTTTATTGAATCGTAACTCTGGCACAACAATTTCCTTCAGGATAAATGAAGTCCTATCTCATCTTATGTTATCTTTGATTCTAACTCACATAGACAAAGGTAGAAACTTGATAGATACCTAAGCTACTCAGCAGATACATTTTTCTACAATAAAGTCGTTTTTGTGATACATCTTTTGTCACTGGTTGTATTAAAAAGAAGCCTCTTCAAAGTGACAAGGAATGTCACATTTTCAATAGTTCACTTCCAGACACACAGTGTCTGCTCAGCAACAAACAACAAACTCTCTATATATGTAAATCAGATCAATAGGATATCCATACAAACGGCCTGCAGCTGTGTGTTGCCATCAAGCAGCTCACCTAATGTAATAAGGAACATCAATAGTTGATTTTCAAACCTAGTGGTGCAGAGAAAGAAAACGAGGATGATGAGATTAGCACAGCTTGGCTCCAACTTCAAGCTCCATTTTATAAACAGTCACAATTAACGCAGACTGTCATTATGCAGGGGACAATGAGATGAGTTTGGGAGAACAGATTAATAACTTCACTGCGTGCGTCAAACTCTGCTGCACTACCAAGACATATTTATATTTGTTTCTCAGAGTCAACACTGACATTTGGACGTATGGATGTGATAATTAATCATGATAAGCTGAAACCCTCACGTGCTCAGACAGAAGCGATGTGCAGCAACCGACACATCTACTGTATGCTGCTCTGCAGACAGGTGTGATAATACAGTTTGACAATCGCCCGCACTAACATAAAAATAGCAGGTGTGCTCTGCAGCAAAAATGCCTCCATTAATAGTACATCCTGTGCTATGTTCCCTGAGGTGGATTAAGCCCAGCCTTAACTAATTGTGTTTTTACTGAGAACAGACGGGATTTTCAATAAGAAGCTTGAATTACATTCCCATTCAGACATTCTGCATTTGATTTGTAATGCCTTTTAGTACTCATTAAAAAACCATGCTATTTGTTCCAATTAATGTCATTAATTGTTGAATACTTTCTTAAACCGTTGTTATTTTTGGCACCTGGTTTTAATTTAGTCCTGGCCTTTTGCCATATGCTTAGTGTTAGTTATATCGTTTGTAATTTTAAAAGTTTCTGTAGACAAAACCGAAATACATTTTAGTTTGGAAACAAATGTTGTGGTATTGTTCATTTGTATTTCTTCCGAAAGGCTACAGCTGTCGCTTATCTTATCATTGCATATACTGCTATCATAAATACAGGTGTTGTTCTGTTTAATTGAACAAATAGAGTAATAGGCATTAGGGATGTCCCAATCACCTTTTTTTGCTCCCGATCCGATTCCGATCATTTGATTTTGACAATTTGCCGATACCGATTTTTCCCGATCCGATCAGGAAACCAAAGTTTATGTGTTGTAGTATATACACAACTGAAGAAACCCCGACCAAAAGTATCTGGACCAACGAATAAAGAGATTTTAGAACCTTGTCACCGGTCCCATTATAACAGATTAACATCGTCATTCGATTGTTCATTCTTATTTCGCATGAAAACAAAACTAGTACGGACGTTGTTGACTTTGACTAGGTTACGACGACACTTTTTTTATTCGATATAGGGTACAACCTATCTATAGGTTAAATTTTATTTTTTTATTGGAATTCCTGTTGGAACTTACGAAAAAAGGAGAATTCGTTAC